AAGTGACGATCAACCCTTCAAATATTGCTCTAGGGAAGTAGTAGTGCATATTTAAGCACATGCATGCATGTGGGTAACTTGTTTATATTGAAAAAATTATTGTGTGGGCTTTATGAACTCCCACTTTGGTTGGATGGACTGATTTGATGAATGATGATGTTATTAATATTGGTTTAGCGCTTAAAGTAGTGGGATAATGTTGTATTGTTGATAGAAACTCAAGGAAGTGCAATGAGCAAAAGTGACCATTTTACCCCTGCCATATTCGGGCATTTTGGTGCGAATTTTTGAGGTTCTAATGACTTATTTATGATGTATACATGTTATATGGATGGCGTAGAAAGTTTCATTAAAAAATAATATGGTTTGGTAGGCCAAATGTATTGATTTGTAGAGGATAGCAAAACTGAAAAATTTTAGCGGATTGCCCAGGCAGTCCTTTTGTTTCGGCTATAACTCTTTGCTCCGATATCGAAATCGAGTGCCGTTAGCGGTACTGGAAACTAGACATTCCCAACTTTCCATTGGTATAAAATACATGTTCTGATTCCACCCGAGTAAGCCAAACCAATCATTTGAACTTGGCTGCCTTGTTTCATTGTTTCCTTGGAAGGCAGAACAGGAACTACAACTTGATGCTCAAATGTGGGATAGTTGTGGATGGATTTTGAAAATGATTTCTTTTGAGAAATTGTGTTTTATGAATGAGTTTTTCAACGCCACCAACCACGTTCAATTCCAATTTGAATTGAATGAGTTGTGACCAAAGTTCAAAACTGACCCAGTGTTGAACACAACCTTCTTTCGGTTAAACGAATGTCTTGATCTTGTGTGGGACTTGTACTCGAAATTCTTGGTGTTAATCACCCCAAATTGTGTTTTGGATACCTCTTAGATATTGTCTATGCAAATGGACCATGTTTGAGGTACTTTCCAAGCCAAATGTCTTGAAAACGGAAAACGGAACTCACAAGGCAGATTTGCCTTGGAATTTTTGGAACTTTGGTGATTTGGTTAATCAACTTTCCATGCTTGTTTATCTATGAAATTTGGTAGATGAATAGCCCTTATATGGTAATATAATCATACCAAATTTGGTTCTATTCCAATGTCGTTTCAATGTACAACTAAACTCTCAAAGTGTATGATTTACACTTGGAAAAACCCTTGTTTAACAAGGAAATTTTGGTAACTTTGGGTCACTATATCTTGGTGTTCAAAACTTCAATTCTGGCCCTGATTGATTTGTTTTAAATTTGGATTGTAACTCTAATAGAGTTCCAAATTTCAAAGGTTAGTTCAAATTGAGTGAATTTTACCGAATTTTTAAAATTGGCCAAAAACCAACTTAAATCTGTCTTGATAACTCAAGTTATCAACGTCAAGCCAAAATTTGAATACATCCACTTGGATTCATGGAAAGGTGTCTTCTAGAAACTTTTAGTACTTTAAAAGATGGTTCCAACGGTACCAAATTTTCCAATTTTGGACAATCAGGGAGTGAGTTATGATTTTCAAAAAATACCCAAAATTTAAAAATTCTTGGCCTTTTGAAAAGAAATCCGCGCGGGAAACTGTTCACCAGAATCCGGCCTTGAATCCGGGCAGTTCTTGGCCCGATAGTTGGCCGGATTTGTGTTGGGATTTGAAAAAAAAAGGAGTTTCGTCACTGCCTCCAATCCGGCCAGGAATCCGGCCGGATATCCCGCCAGAACTCGGCTGAATTGTGACGTGGCCTGTCCTGTTCCGACTTCTGTCGTTCGTTTTGAAATTAATTTACTCGTACTCGTTCCCATCCAATGATTTTAAGGATAACGATCCATTTTTACTCGAGTTTTAAAACCCCTTTTGAGCATTGGTATTCAAGGAAACCTAGGCCTAATTTTCGAGATATTTTCTAGATTGTACCAGTGTACGACCTTCCTCATCGATAGGGATTTATCAATAATAGTCCATTATTAATTGTTCAGGCACACAAGAGGAAATTCAAGAAGATTCTCCGGTGGACGCTTGAATTTCGAGTGTCATTCCTTCTTGTTTTACTTGGTGAGTGTCAAGTGCATGCTTACTTGAACTCCTGTGAACTTGATACATGTCTACTTGTTACCAATGATGTAAGTTTTGAAAATGGAGTCGGGTGTGTACTTTATCGCACTCGTTCTTATTCGAAACTAATAATTCGTGAATGACTTGCTTGACATGTAATGAATGACTTGCTGGATATGACATGGGTACTAGAATGTATCAAATGCTTGCTTAACATGAAATAGTATGCTATGGTTGCATACGTCGTTGGAGTGAATCTCCTCGACACACAAATATACATGGGGGACGCCCAAACTCATAGGCTGACCTTAGACTCGAGTCGACATGGGTTTGGTCGGAAACCTTGGCGAGTCATGAGACAAATAAGTTCGACCTAATGAGAGGTTTTGCTTGGCATACTCGTGGAGTATCGCCTTATAAATGTGTTGCAGGCCCGGTGTGTTGTACGGTGGACTGAGGGAAGTAAGTGGTGATTTACGGAATGAAAATACTGACCCGGTTGACGGAGTGTCATCGCGAAAAGGTATACAAACAACATCGGCAAAGCAAGTGGAACTTAGCTCATGAGAACTACCATATCCTTGAATTGTTTCTGTTTATATTTCACTAGAATTGTGAATTTCATGTATATTCTCATTTGACTTGTTACCTGGGCTTGTTACTTGAAATATGCACTTGCATGTGTGTTTTTGGCCTCACAAGCGTTTTGCTCACCTTGTAGATTTGTTTTCCTTGACAGGAATGAGCTTGGAATGAGATTCGAAGGAATTCCCCTTTTGATGAATTTTGTAATGGAATTTCGATGTATTTGACTAGGCATTGTGGTTGTCGTTATTTTGGGGTTTAAGATGTATTCTAGAAACCCGATGCAAGGGTTGGATAATTGTTAAATATTGTTAAGACTGAAAGCTTCCGCATCAATTGCCTTTCATTATGTGGTTGTGATGTCTAGCACTGCATTAAGTTTGAACAGAAATTACTTGATTCCTGGCGAGAGTTGGGCAAGCGTCCCGTGGATACCTTTTGGTTCGCCTTAGGAAGATGTGGGAGCGTCACAATTGGTATTAGAGCACTAGATTAGAGATCTATATGGGAATACTCTACCCTTATGACCTGAAACCGAATAACTAAGTTATACCTTAAGTGGTACTTGGGGCAAACTAGTGATTAGGTTAGACATGCATAAGTGACATCTGAGCGAGTCAGTGATTAATTTTCTAACAAAAAAAGTGTGATTATTTTGCAGGGATGGAAAATGAAAATGAAACCCCGGCAGCTAACGGGAATTGCCATGCTAATGGTCACGTAGAGCCTCCTAAACCTAATTACTACCGATCCCTTGGTGGAGGGGCTCGAGTGCACTACTCACCCTCTAGTAGCTACCCTCGATGTTCGTATAGGTTGACTTTTGCCTACCCGAACCACGTTGTACTGGCCTTAGACGACTAGCGTCATCAGTTGGTGAATGCCAACTTGGACTTACAGGTAGAGGTGGATGAGCTAAGGCAGATGGTTAGCGCTCAGGAAGAGCGAATTGTAGAGCTTGAGGAGGTTATAAAGGGCGAGGTGGCTACTGCTGCAGTCACTCGTGAGGAGCTCCAGAGTACTAGGGCTCAACTTATTAGATTAGGGGAGGAGGTCCGTGATCGGGCTTCCGGAATCCTAACTGATGCTACTAGGCTAGTAGATGAGGCGATGGAGGTAGTCCAGAGCTTTGACCCGGAGGAAAATCTTGAGGAAGAGATTCCGCCTGGTAGTCCTACTGTGGACTAGGCCTTTAGTGATTGACCTTTTGACTTTTGACTGGTACAGTTTGGTTTAGCAGGGGTGATGCTAAGTGCTGAGACCATTGTATTTTGCATGACTGTGTGGCCTACTTTTGAGACACTTACTTTTACTTTAGTATTCTGTGACTAAAAGTATTCTTGTTGCACTTACATGCTATATTTTTGTGATTCCCCCATGACTTGCTAATTGTATGAATTCTAACATGTTAATGAATATAAATTATTATTAATTTCAATGTTTTCGTGATTGGTTCTTGTTTTAAATATTTTCTCGCGTAGTTGATTCATTTCTTGCATTAGGCACGCCTAGGATAATGGAAGGACTAAGAGGTGGTCGAGACCGTGGTCGAAGCCGTGGGCGAGGGACTAGACAAGCCCAACCTCATGGTGATGACCAGGGATCGGCAATTGGACTGAACCAGGGACAGGAAAATGTAGAGAGAAATCAAGTGGCTACTGCCATTAATAGAATGACTGATATCTTAGAGCGCTTAATTGATAGACAAGGTTCTGGACCATTTAACCAACCTGGGGGACAGGACAGAGGGGAAGATAGAGCTTTCGAGAGATTCTTAAAGTTCAACCCGTCTAAGTTTCTTGGTGAACCCGACCCTAATATAGCGGAGAATTGGTTAGAGAGGATGACCAACATATTCGCCCTCTAAACTACACTGAGGATAGGCGAGTGAATTTTGCTACTTTCCAATTTGAGGGAGTGACTTGTGCTTGGTGGGATATGATAAAAGGAAAATGGGAGAGAGCTCAGACTCTTGGATTTGGGAGAATTTCATGAAAGATTTTAATGAAAAATTTCTTCCGCCCTTGATCCAAGAAAAGAGAGAAGATAAATTTATCAAATTGAAACAAGGGATCCTTAGTGTAGCTGAGTACGAAGGGAAGTTTACTAAACTTTCTAAGTATGCCCCTGAACTGATGATTAATGAACGAAGGAGAATCAGACAATTTATACAGAAACTTATTGTGGAAATCCAGGAAGGTTTGGTTGGGGCTCAAATCTCTACTTTTACTGAGACCCTAGAGAAAGCACAAAGGGTTGAAAATGTGAGAATGCAAGTTAAGGACTTTCAGAATAGGAAGAGGAACTTTTCTAGTCGTACATCTGGATAGACTAGTAAAAGTTCACAGCCTTCCAAAATTGGAAGAGGTATGGGAGGAATAAAGATTGCTGGAGCTGCTAGGGAAGTTTTATCAAGAGGAGGTCGTGGTGGACCGATTCGAGCTAAGGGAGCACCTTCTACTGGTTCCGCTGTGACCCCTCAAGTTACTTGTGGGTATTGTGGTAAATCCAATTACTTTGAAAATGATTGTTGGAGGAAGTTGGGAAAATGTTTGTTTTGTGGTAGTGCTGAACATCAAGTCGCCAATTGTCCGAAATCGCCAAAAATAGGAGGTAACAATCAGAGACCAAAAAAGTCCACCTCTAAACAGACAAGTGCCTGAGGAAATCGACCGAAAGTACTGGCTAGTGTTTATGCACTGGATTATCAACAAATTCCTGAGGCGACTGAGGTGGTTGAATGTATAATTCCAATATTTCACCGTTTAGCTAGGGTTCTAATTGATTCGGGTGCAACACATTCTTGTGTAAACTCTAATTTTATGAGTGGGATAGATTAGAAGCCAATTAAGCTACTGTATGATTTGAAAGTTAAAACACCTATTGGGGATCAAAATCTAGTTGCTAACTTGATGTATGGGGATTGTGAAATCTGGATCGGAGAATGAAAATTATTGGTCGATCTAATAGGTTTAACAATTAAGGGGTATGATGTGATTTTTGGAATGAATTGGTTAGTCCGTTATAATAACCAGTTGGATTGTAGAACAAAGATTGTAGAATTGGGTATTCCAGGAGAAGCGACCCTGAAATTAGATGTAAAGGGTATGTTAGTTTCATCTGAACTTATCTCAGGAATCCGGACTAGAAAATTGTTAAGTAAGGGAGCTCGTGGATATCTGACTTTTCTTATCAACACCCCTAGTGATAAGGTGAAATTGGAAGACATGCCTGTAGTGAAAGATTTTTCTGATGTATTTCCTGAAGAGTTAGAGTCTTTACCCCCGGAACAAGAAATAACTTTTAAGATTAATGTGACTTCGGGAGCAGCACCTATCTCTAAGACGCCATATCGAATGGCTCCAGCTGAATTGAAGGAATTGAAATTGCAACTACAGGATTTGCTGAAACGGGATTTTATAAAAGAGAGTGATTCTCCGTGAAAAACCCCAGTTTTGTTTGTTAAGAAAAAGGATGGGAGTTTGAGACTATGTATAGACTATAGAGGCTTGAATGATGTCACAATTAAGAATTAGTACACATTGCCCCACATTGATGAATTGTTTGACCAATTGCAAGAGGCGGTAGTATTCTCGAAATTGGATTTGAGACAGGGTTATTACCAATTGAGAATTTTGGAGAAGGATATACCCAAGACTGCTTTTAACTTGAGATACGGACACTTTAAGTTTGCAATAACGCCATTTGGATTGACTAATGCACCTACTGCTTTCATAGATTTAATGCATAGGGTTTTTAAGTTTTATCTAGATCAATTTGTGGTGGTCTTTATTGATGATATATTGATGTACTTTAAGAATGTGAAAGATCACGAGAAACACCTGAGAATTATTTTGCAAATCTTGAGGGAACACAAATTGTATGCTAAGTTTAGCGAGTGTGAATTTTGGTTGAAAGAGGTGACATTCTTGGGGCACATAATTTCTAAAGATGGAATTAAGGTGGATCCGACTAAGGTTGAAGCTGTCGCAAGGTGGAAACGACCGGAAAACCCTACTGAGGTTCAAAGTTTTATTGGACTAGCAGGGTATTACCGGAGGTTTATTCAGAATTTTTTCCGAATTGCTGGACTCATGACTGAGTTGATCAAGAGAAGTGAAAAATTTATATGGAGTTCTAAGTGTGAAGAGAGTTTCCAGGAATTAAAGAGACGTTTGACGAGAGCACCTGTATTAGCTCTACCGAATGGAAAGGATAGTTTTGTGATTTATACAGATGCAGCTAAGGAAGGATTGGGATGTGTTTTAATGCAAAATGACAAAGTGATAACGCATGCCTCTAGAAAATTGAAACCACATGAGGGAAATTACCCGACTCATGACTTGGAGTTGACAGCGGTGGTATTTGCTTTAAAGAAATGGAAACATTACCTGTATGGAGTGACATTTAAGGTTTTTACTGACCACAAAAGCCTTAAGTATCTGTTTTCTCAAAAAGAGTTAAACTTGAGGCAACGTAGGTGGATAAAATTTTTGAAAGATTATGATTGCACTATAAAGTACCATCCAGGGAATGCCAATGTAGTGGCCGATACTTTAAGTCGTCAAGTACTAGTGGCCGGATTGATAATTAAGGAATTACATTTGTTGGAGGAAGTTAGTTATTGGAATTTTAGACTTGAACCAAAGAAAGTAATTTTGGGGAATGTTATATTAAACTCCACTTTGTTGGAGTGTATCAAAGAATCTCAGGAAAAGGATGGCGAAGTGCAAAAATGGGTAGAAAATTTTAAAAGGGGAGAAAATCGGATTTTAACTTGAGATCAAATGGTATTTTGAGGTTTCGAAATCGGATAGTAGTGCCAAAAGATGAGGGATTTAAGAAGGAAATTTTAGAAGAGACATACCAATCAAAGTTTACGGTATATTCTGGAAGAAATAAAATGTATCAAAATTTGAAGAATTTATATTGGTGGGAGAGTATGAGGAAGGAGATTGCCCAATTTGTTTAGACTTGCTTGGCCTGTCAACAGGTTAAAGTCAAGCATCAAAACCATCGGAACTTTTGCAACCTCTAGAAATATCTAAGTGGAAATGGGAGAATATCACTATAGATTTTGTATCAGGATTATCGAGGACACAGAGAGGCCAGGATGCTATTTGGGTAATAGTGGATAGACTGTCAACAGGTTAAAGCTGAATTGAACATGGTTGGTAGCATTGGAAAACTCATTTATAAAACTACAATTTCTCAAAAGAAATCATGTTGAATTGAATGAGTTGTGACCAAAGATCAAAACTGACCCAGTGTTGAACACAACATTCTTTCGGTTAAGCCAATGTCTTGATCTTATATGGGACTTGTACTCCAAATTCTTGGTGTTAATCACCCCAAATTGTGTTTTGGATACCTTTTAGATATTGTCTATGCAAATGGACCATGTTTGAGGTACTCTGTTGGCCAAACGTCTTGAAAACAGAAAACGGAACTCACAAGGCAGATTTGCCTTAGAATTTTTGAAACTTTGGTGATTTGGTTAATCAAGTTTCCATGCTTGTTTATCTATGAAATTTGGTAGATGAATAGCCCTTATATGGTAATATAATCATACCAAATTTGGTGCTATTCCAATGTCGTTTCAATGTACAACTAAACTCTCAAAGTGTATAATTTACACTTGGAAAACCCCTTGTTTAACAAGGAAATTTTGGAAACTTTGGGTCACCATATCTTGGTGTTCAAAACTTCAATTCTAGCCTCGCTTGATTTGTTTTAAATTTGGATTGTAACTCTAATAGAGTTCCAAATTTCAAATGCTAGTTCAAATTGAGCAAATTTTGCCGAATTTTCAAAGTTGGCCAAAAATCAACTTAAATCTGTCTTGATAACTTAAGTTATCAACTTCAAATCAAAATTTGAATGCCTTCCACTTGGATTCATGGAAATGTGTCTGCTAGAAACTTTTAGAACTTTAAAAGATGGTTCCAACGGTATTAAATTTTTAAATTTTGGACAATCAGGGAGTGAGTTATGATTTTTCAAAAAATACCCAAAAATTGAAAATTCTTGGCCTTTTGAAAAGAAATCCGCGCGGGAAACTGTTCACCAAAATTCGGCCTTGAATCCGGCCAATTCTTGGCCAGATAGTTGGCTGGATTTGTGTTGGGATTTGAAAAAAAAAAAGGAGTTTGGTCATTGCCTCCAATCCGGCTAGGAATACGGCCGGATTGTGACGTGGTCTGCCCTGTTCCGACTTCGGTCGTTCGTTTTGAAATTAATTTACTCGTACTCGTTCCCATCCAATGATTTTAAGGATAACGGTCCGTTTTTACTTGAGTTTTAAAACCCCTTTTGAGCATCGGTATTCAAGGAAACCTAGGTCCAATTTTCGAGATATTTTCTAAATTGTACTAGTATACGACCTTCCTCATCGATAGGGATTTATCAATAATTGTCCATTATTAATTGCTCAGGCACACAAAAGGAACTTTAAGAGGATACCCCGGTGGACGCTTGAACTTCGAGTGACATTTCTTCTTGTTTTACTTGGTGAGTGTCAAGTACATGTTTACTTGAACTCCTGTGAACTTGATACATGTCTACTTGTTACCAATGATGTAAGTTTTGAAAATGGAGTCGGGTGTGTACTTTATCGCACTCGTTCTCATTCGAAACTAATAATTCGTGAATGACTTGCTTGACATGTAATGAATGACTTGCTGGATATGACATGGGTACTAGAATGTATCAAATGCTTGCTTAACATGAAACAGTATGCTATGGCTGCATACGTCGTTGGAGTGAATCTCCTCGACACACAAATACATGGGGGACGCCCAAACTCATAGGCCGACCTTGGACTCGATCCAGCATGGGTTTGGTCGGGAACCTTGGTGAGCCATGAGACTAAAATAAGCTCGACCTAATGAGAGCTCTTGCTTGGCATACTCGTGAAGTATCACGCCTTATAAATATCTTGCGGGTTCGGTGTGGTGTACGGTGGACGGATGGAAGTAAGTGGTGATTTACGGAATGAAAATACCCACCCGGTTGACGGAGTGTCATCATGGGAAGGTATACAAACGATATCGACAAAGCAAGTGGAACTTAACTCCTAAGAGCTACCATATCCTTGAATTGTTTCTGTTTATATTTCACTAGAATTGTGAATTTCATGTATATTCTCATTTGACTTGTTACCTGAGCTTGTCACTTGGAATATGCACTTGCATGTGTGTTCTTGGTCTCACGAGTGTTTTGCTCATCCTGTAGATTTGTTTTTCTTAACGGGAATGAGTTTGGAATGAGACTCGAAGGAAATCCCCTTTTGATGTATTTTGTAATGGAATTTTGATGTATTTGACTAGGCATTGTGGTTGTTGTTATTTTGGGGTTTAAGATGTATTCTAGAAACCCGATACAAGGGTTGGATAATTGTTAAATATTGTTAAGATTGAAAGCTTCCGCATCAATTGCCTTTCATTATATGGTTGTGATGTCTAGTACTACATTAAACTTGAACAGAAATTGCCTGAGTCCTG